TATTGTTTTGTCTCAACTTATTATTTATAGAATGCTGCTTTGGGACTGCAATAGCCGAACCTCCTATGGTTACACTGTTGAAGTTTCAGTCAATAATGAAGTGTGGGACATGATTGTAGATAGATCTAAAGAGTGGGCACGATCGTGGCAGTTGTTGCAATTTGAACAAAGGCCGATAATGTATATACGTATTACTGGTGTTCGGTCTTCAAATAAATATGACAGAGTAATATAATTATTAATCTAATAGTATAATTTAAATTGTTAAAATTTATTTTTAATTTGTAGGATTTTAGATGTGTATATTTGGAGGCACCGTCTCAAGTGTCACTAGATTCCACCGTCACGCCTAAACAGCAGCGGTCGATACCACGGCTTTTCGGTCGTAATAATTAGCTCCATCTTTCGCACAAAGGCTGACTTCTATGATTTCTACAAATACAGTTTTTTACATTTTATTATTATAGATTACTGTTACTGTTGCTGTTTAATAAATATATATATATATATATATTTATTTTATTTATTTATTTACGGAATTAATTCCATTAAACATAAATAATATTACAGCAGTATAGACAAAAAAGAACAGTATAAGAAAAACTTACAAACTGACAAAAACATTTTTACAACTACACACTAAATGTAGACCTAATATCACTTATACTACAAGAAAATAAATCTAATTTTACTGAATTTGTAGTAGACATTAAAATGTTTACAACCGAGGATAAATTATAATTAGTACGTATATTTTTTATAATAAACAAATCATTGTTTCTCGTAGAGTTAGACTTAACTCTAAAATTTAGTTTTTCTAATATTTGATGGCAATCAATTTGGTTGATTAATAATTTAAAAAGAAAAACGAAATTTAAATATTTTCTACGATTTCTTAAAGTAGGAATATTAAAAAATCCAGAAATTTCTTCATAACCCGAATGAGGAAGTCTTTCGACATTGCATTTATAAGATAAAAAACGTAAAAAAAAGTTTTGAATTGAATCTAGTGTTTGATTTAAAATTAAGGAGTGTGGAGACCAAATAAGTACCGCATATTTCAACTGTGGTCGCACAATAGTAAAATAGACATTTCCTAAAGCAAAATAATTATTAAAATTTGAACAAATTCGCTCTATTTTTTATCTGATTGATATGTTCTTTGAAATTCATTTTTGTATCAAAAAATACACCTATCTATATATATATATATAAAAATGAACGAATGTCTGTTTGCTTGTCCTTTATGCATTAGTGCACCATTCATCCGGTCGCCATGAAACTTTGCTTTGAAAAATTTTATCAAGATCAGTTAAGTAGTTTCGGAGTTCATAGCGAACAAATATCGTGAGTCGAGATTTTTATATACATAAAGATTTCAATTTAATGTATGAATATGACTAAAAATTATATATTATTTTCAAACATAATAATATTGGTTCATGAATGTTTGAAATCCAACCGAGTGCTACCGTTGAGTCGCTCCAAAAATAGTATGTTATGGTGGTATTGACAAATTAGTATGAACTCTATTAGCTAAGCGTGCAAGTATCAACTTGCCGCACAATTCTTAACTTGGAATGGATACTTTTTTAAAAGGAGTAACACGGGTTTTTGAACATAGGAGATTTACGTCAACCTTGTAGTCCTGTGTTTGTTGTCGTTAGTGAATACATGCCCCGTACCAATTTTTAGAAGCAACATAAAATGCGTGTATTTCTGCAGTGGATGTGCTGAATAATTGACTATGTGGACATATTATGTATCAAGGTATTGTTAAATCTTCTAGTTGTATAATTGATTTGAGTAACAATTCCAATTTAATTCGAGTTCCTCTGGTAATGGTTCATTCCACGATAACTTTAAAGCCCATAAACTTTGCATGATCATTTTTGTTTTTAGTACTACTGGCCCTAAAAGTACAAGTGGATCATAAAACTTTGCGATTTGTGATAATACTGATCTCCTTGTTTTGGTTGTAGGCTTATCAACATTAATTTTATAGAATAATGTGTCTGATTTTGAATCTCATTGGATGCCAAAGGTTTTAATAATATTATCATTGACGATTAATTTTTGTGTATTCAGTTGTCCAGTTGCGGCGATACCTTTCAAAATGTATGGTTGATTTGAGCATTATTTGTTGAGTACAAAACCACCTTTGGCTAAGACAAATATTAAACGGTCTTTTGTTGTTATTATATTTTCAAATTATCCCTTCTGCTGTTCGTTATTGAATGATTTAAAAAAATCCTCTTGCGAGCAAATCATCGACGTAGAAATCATGCAAAATAATGTGTCGTACATCAGGCATGTTCTTACATCCATCATTAGCTAAACTTCTATGTGCTTTGATAGCAAAGTTTTGGAGCTGACACTGTACCGTATGTGACTGTTGTTAATCTATATTTTTCGAGTTCCTTTTTTGAAAAGTTTCTCCACAGTATTATTTGTAAATTACAGTCATCTGTTATCAAAATATGATATTTCAAACTTTAAATATAGTATTTAGATATTTATAAAATACTGTTTAATATAATATAATATAGTGTATAATATAAAATTATAAACTTCATAAAATAAAATGTATTATTATGTTTCTGGAGTTGACCATATCCCAATACGGCTAAAAAATAAATCATCATCGTGTTTTTTCCCATTAATCAAACTTTTAAAAAATAGAACAAAATACATTCCGTTCAATTTAAACAATATAAATAAACTTGCTGCAACCAGTAAAAAGACTGTTATGCTTGAAAAAAAAATAGCTCACCTTTTTTGGCCCAACCATTAAGTCAATGATTTACACAAGGAAGTCAGGAAGAAATTATTTTGTTACATATCAAACCTCCAACCCTTAAGAGAAAATTAAAAGTTATGTTATATATTTCATAGACGACTACTAAAATTGTATTCTAATAATCCTAAGCGATAAGATCTGAACTCAGTTATGAAAAGTATCGCAATCTACGTTGATGTTTGCTCGCTAAGAGATGGTCCTATAAGTTATTTATTTTACTTTCGCAAACCTACTTACTGACTTATTTAAAATGTCTGAGATAATCTCTAGAAAATTCTGGTGGGCGCTAATTTGATATTTTTAACAAGTCTAACGGAAGGTCTGTCCTTAATTTTATATTTAACGCTAAACATGTTTAACGAATTTACAATTAATAACCATACTGCACTCGTGCAATACAGTTGTAATTTTTTTATTGGATTACCTCATTCCATTAGTGAAAAAATTCGACAAGTAACATTTTTCTGGATTTCAGTGTAAAAGACTTCAAAGGTGGTCAAATTATATGTTTTTGGGGTCGGTGATTACGAATTTAATATGAGTTCTAAATTTATATCAGCCAGAAATAAATTAAGTAAAAAAAAAAATTTAATTTGTGTAAACTTAAAGTCAAAAGTGGTACTTGAGCACAAATCTAGTATCATTCTGCATAGGTATACATAAAATTGTTTTAATGATTTGATACATTTTTTTTAAAGATTTTAAGTGTTTTATAAATACGCAATCTGCGAAAACACAGTTTTCCGGCAATTAAAATAAAACTGTAGTGCCAAATTTTTGCTTTCCGTTTAATATGTTATGAATACATATGAGTTCTAACTACTGACAAATTTTCAACTTACATGTCTTACAATTACGGCTAAAAAACTAAAAAAAATATGAAACCCCCTTAGGGGGGTGGGAAAAGGGTATAATTTAAATTTGATACAACTGATGTGTGCGGGCATACCAAAAAAACATTCCTTATAAATTTCAACTCGATCCGACTCTTTTTCTCGAAATAATAGCCAGTAAAAGTTCTAACTTAAAAACTCGTACGGTTTTTTTTGTTTTTTCAAATTTCGTCTGAGAATAAGTAAACGGTATCAACTTTTTCCCCCCAAAGTACCAACTAGATAAAATTTGTGATTAATAGAGTTGCTACTCGAAGAAATTGGTCCAGTATTAAGAAAGTTACAGTGTATACAGATTAAAAAAAAGCCCACATAAGAGTAAAACCAATTTATCGAATTCTCACCTAAGAGTCAACTCGAAAACGCAATTTTCTTATCTGAATTATAAATTACCTTAAAATCTATATGTTATTACTTGTTATAATTTTACATATTAGTATTATTATACAATTTACCAATCGAAAAATTCAAAGTCTTAAGAAATTCATGGCCAACCCGACTTATTGACGATTTTCTAGAAAAATAATAAAAAAACGACCTATGTCGATCATTTTTAATTTTTTTTTTTGTAATGCAATGTTATTTTAAGGTCATTGTGATTCTTCCTCCTTCGGTAAGAGGATTTAGGGAATGGGTGATTTTGGAATCTCTTATAATAACCTCTATAATAAATATAATAGATGTGCATATGTTGTTATTTTTTGTTTTTAAACAAGTTTTTAACTAGATCCGACTTTTTTTATCGAAATTATAGCCGGTAAAAGTTCTGTCTTAAAAACTCGTACGGTTTTTTTTGTTTTTTTCAAATATCGACTGTACAGAAATAAATTTTTCCACTTTTACCACCCCCCCCCCCTTAAAGTAATAACTAGATGAAATTAGTGATTTATAAAAATGCTACTTAAAGGAATTGGTTAATTATTAAAAAAGTTACAGTGTATACAGATAAAAAAAAACACACATCAGAGTAAAACTAACACCTTCGCCTCTCTGCATCGACGCTAAAAATTATATATAGCCCTATGTCAACATTACATTAAATGCTATTTATATTTATAATGCATTAAAAAATTCAAAGAACCTACTGATAACGCGGTCAAATGGATAACGACATTCGACATCCAACTATCTTGTTTATTATTTCATTTATATATATCTTTTTTTTGTGCATAAGTAATTAATAATAGTAATAATTTAATTGAATATATATATTTATTAAGCAATAAAATTGATAGTAACCTATAACAATAATATGTAAAAGAACCCATTAGTCCATATAGAAGTTTGCCTTCGGGCGAATGGTGCCGCTATTTCCGATTTAATAGCCACGATATCGACTTCCACGGTTTTTTGATGATGAAAGCTAGCGATACTTGAGCGGGTGCCTCCAAATATTTTAAATTAAAAGTCTACAAAAAAAAAAGTTTTTTAATAATGTCTAATAAACATTCTTAGATCAATTATTTTACTTTGTAAGTATCTGAAGTGTGAATGCCAGTAATACGTATATACACTACCAGCCTTTGTTCAAATTGCAACAACTGCCACGATTGGCACGATTTATTGGATTTATCTATAATCAAGTACCACTCTTCATGATTGACTGAAACATGAACATTGTAACCGTAGGTATTCTTATTGTGTTCCCAAAGCAGCATCCTATAAATAATGACAATACTAATATAATCTTAATCTTATTGTCACAGTTGACCTAAAATTATTTTTAAATATATTTCAGGCACAAAAAATATTATAATTAAAAAATAGAAACCAAAGTAAAAAGTATATATTCTGTAAACGATTACCTCATTGAACTTAGCAAATACGGTTGTGCGAGTTGAACCTCTATACACCCCGAATTCAGGAAATGATATGTATGCCCACGATCCAAAAGTGAGTTTTTATATTCATCGTACAAAATGTTGTTTTGAATCTTATCGGGCAATGTCTCCATTCTGTAGATAAACCAATTTGGAGTTCCTTTGGTTACAAACGCATCCATAGATGGTAAAGCAACATTGTACTTTGGAGCTGATAGATTAAAATCAGTTAATTAAACAAATACGTTTTTTTTATATTATTTAAAGAATCATGTAATTTCATGGAATCCATACCTATTAATCCGTTTTTGATTTCAACCAAGTGCATTTTGTCCGTATTGTACATGACTTTTAAAATGTTAAAAGTACAAGTCTTATTACAAGAATTTTTGGTGCCAACAATACGGATGTACCTCACATATATTCGGTTAATCCACAAGCGTTGAATTGACCGACAATCGTAATTTGAATGATTAATCACACGAAACCAACTGTACTTAGCTATTGATACTTCAATGTAATAGGAGTAATTCCTAAAGAATTAAATAAGTCGATCAAATGAATGGTGGTATTTCTTTTTATGAATACGGATGGCGAAAAAGCAAATCATGTATTTAAATAATTGTTTTGCAAAATAGTTTAAAAAAATTATTATAAGTCAGTGCATTTACAATTTTTTTTATTCATGAATAAATTAAATTAACAACTATTAAAATAAATCATGAAAAAAATAAATTTTAACTTTATTGGTATTCAAACAATATTATACTAAATCATCGATTAGAATATTATTAAATAAAAACACACCAATAACATGATTGGGGTTCATAATATATTTTAGTTCAAATGAATATTAAAATAAAATTATATAAAATCTTTGATTAGAAATATTGATAAGTAAAAACATACTTTGATGGTTTTTCTATTAATTCCATTTCGATATAGTTTATATTTACTGGATGATCTAGCATGATCATGGTACCGCCGTCAATTTGAGAAAGCTCTATCGAATCTTCTTGAGCAAAATTCACATTTGGTTCTAAAGAATAACGTAGTTGATACTAAAATAGCTTGCCTAACATATTATATTGCCATTGAACATACCTAATCGTCCTTGATCATTTAATGTTTGTGTGAGGGACTTCTTTATGACATCTAAAATATTTCTATCCGAACAAACCAGCTCAGATCGCCTAACTTCAGACAGTTCTTTTTCATCCATAAGCTGATATCTGATGGCCGATAAAATGTTGGTTTTTTCGTTAGGACCCAGTTCGTCTTGGTTGTCTTTAATCCACTGACTGACCGCATGGAACATATCCAATTCTTTAACATACGCCGTGTTACGATTGAGAATTAGAATTAATGCTTCCTAAAAATAATATTACTGTCACAACTAGTTACCTAACAAGAGCAATACTGATTTTTTACTATAAAATATAATTACGGCCGACAAAAAGCGAGACTCTTTAGATTGCAATACGTCCAAAGGTTGTGTGGCAATAAAATTGTTTGAGGCGTCTTCGAGTTCTTTGAGTTGATAGTAAGAAGCCACAACAAACAACGAACTTACATTGTGTACATCGATGTTATTACACAGGTACTCGGACAGTGAAAATTGTAAGTTTATAAAACTCCATAGATTCGAGAGAATTAATAACTCCAAAATGACGTTAATCTAATACAAAAAAAATACATAATATATATATATAATATATATTCGACAAATCCTTTTCTATAAAATATATTTATATTCTAAATATATACATTACAAGTTACCTCTAGAACACTTAAATTCATTTTACCAAAATAAATATATTTAAGAAGTTCTTTAATTGATGTTGGTGATCCTTCATTTATTGACACCTCCTTTGTATAAGTTTCTATATGTCCGTTACACAGTAATGCACTAAAAAAGTTATCTAATATTAGCATAAAAAATACATTGTATGGCTACAACTAGTAAGGCATATTGCATTGGCTACTCAATTTACTTTGGTTTTGTTTGATTATGTTAGATTATATTGAACAGCTATGTGATAAGTCATACAATCAGTTTGCATAATTTCTATATCACTTGTTTATACACTTGTTTTCCAAAATATATATTAATGTTGTCATAAATGAAGAGTGAAATTCAAGATGCAGCCGAAGAGACGATAGGTAGAGAACATCGATTAAAGAAACCGTGGTTCAATAAAATCTGCGAAGAAGCCATACAGAGGAGAAAGATCGCAAGAGCAATATGGTCTCCCACTAAAATTAGTCAATCTCATAAAGGCAAGCGTCATGAATACGGAAATTAAAGTACAGGTAGGAAACTCCTTATCAACAGCAGCCCAAGTCAGAACAGGATTAAGACAAGGGGATGCATTATCGCCGATTTTGTTTAACTTAGCACTGGAAAAAGTGGTTCAAAGCACTAGCTTCGAACAAAGAAGTGTACAAATAGGTAAGACAAAGTTTGGACTACTGGCGTACGTGGATGATTTAGTGCTATTAGCAGAAAATAAAGAAGAGCTCATTGAAAAAACTCATGAAATACTTGAGACAGAAAAAAGTTGCGTTAGAAATAAACGTGGAAAAAACAAAGTACATGATAGCTTATAGGACGATTTTGCCGGAGGATAAACGCACTCATCTTGAAGTGGGGGCATATAAATTTATGAGTTCAGAAGTTCAAGTACCTAGGTACACTTATAACTCAGAGTAGTGAAATACAAGAGGAGATAAAAACAAGAATACAGGCAGGCAATAGATGCTATTTTGTATTGAACAAGCTGTATAAGCTGTGTAAGTCAAGAATGTTGCCTAAGAGCTTAAAAGTACAACTGTATAGAACTCTTATTCGGCCAGTGGTGATGTATGGATGCGAAACTTGGACGCTTCATAAGATACAGCAGAATAACCTCTTAGTACATAAACGAATAGTTTTGAGGTCGATTTTTGGCACTTGCACAGATAGGAATACAGTTGAATAGAGAATAAGACATAATGTGGAGATCAGTGAGCTATACCAGAAACCAAACATAGTCGACGATATAACAAAGAGGCGGCTCTTTTGGGCCTGCCACGCATGGCGAAAAGAAAGCGCTCTTATACACAGAGTACTATGTGGCTCCCCAAAAGGTGTAAGACCACTTGGTAGACCAAGGTTGAGGTGGGAAGACCAGGTGTCAAAAGATGTGGAGCGGGTTGAACCGGATGCTGATTGGCAAGTCCTAGCACAAGATAGAGGGAAATGGCATGGAATATGTTGTCAGTTTGGTTTTAAAATCCGTCAACTACAATGAAAAGAAAACAATTATAATAAATATGTATAAGTGGTTATGGTTCATAGTATCCATTTATATCAAGCAAGTAAACTAACAATTATAGATTACAAAACATTCAAAAATCTTAAGGCAATCGATGTTGCTGTTTTTTCAAAAACATCTAGGTTGGTTGATTAGGAAATTAGTGAGCCTAACCTAACCGTAAAAATTAAAAAATATGCTTTTCTAAAAAATAGTAAAAAAGGAAAAAAAAGTGTACTATTAGTACAATTTACCAATCAATAAAAAAAGAGAATAATATGCTTAAAGATATTATTACCGGAAATAATTACTGCTTGAAGCTAACACAGCACGATGGGCGGGGAATCGTTCATTATTTACAACTAAAACAACATCCGAAAACCTAAAATAAATATTAAAATAAATTAGTAATATACTTATAAATACTACAAATGAATAATAATTTATGTATAATTTTAAATCTTTAAAAATAATACAGAGAAATTATAAAAAAAAATTTAGTTATTAACTGCTCGTGTTCTTTATATATTTAATACTACGTTTTGATAAATTATATATATTTTGTGTTCATATTTAAGGGAGTTTTTCACAGATAGCTAAATAAGTATAGTTGATGTTGATGTTAATTTATTTATTTATTTATTAAATAAACGCCCGTAGGCTCAAGTACATTACAGTAAAATAAAATAACACAATGAATAACGAATTGATAAAATTGATAAACATGACACATATAGAGAGAAAAAATTACTACACTTAGTACAATATAAAATAATTAAAGCAAGATAACACAAAATTTTAATGAGTAACAGTGCATATAATAGTCGCTCCAAGAAAAAAATCTTCTTCTTTATATAATCAACTTATTAAAGTACTAAACAATATATGTAAATCTATAGTATTATAAAAGTTAACGACCCCAACGGAATAGGTTAATTCATTTGTCCCTGTAATTAAGAAGAATAATAGGTCTGGATCCAAAAAAATTGAATAAGCCATCAAAAATTCACATTATATTCTTCCTACTTTTAATGTACTTTCAAAATTCAACTATCTAACGCCAAACATTTTCCAACATTAGATGCCAACTCAGTTTCTTGGCAAGAAAATGGTATAGGAGAAATAGAAAACAAATTATTATTTACATTGAAATATAATGAAGATGAGAATAAATTGCAGTAAGAAAACTAATTATTGAAATTGTCTCATAGTTCTTAAACAGCATAAGGCAGTAAACAGATATGGTAGGAAATAGTAAAATTTAAGATATATTTATGTTAATTGTTCATCATTTGTATGCCTGTATTATTTATTTTTATCTTGTTTTGTCCCTAATAGTTTTTGACATTTTCATGTCTTAACTCTGGCACATACCGAAAAAAGTTTTTCAGCCGAGTCTGCAACCACGAAAGAGCATTTTCATGTCTCGTTGAAGTACCGAATAAATTTAGAGTAGTGGTGGAATTATAGATAATGATATAGTATATTAACAAGCTAGTATAATAAAACGTCAAGTTTCTGGCTAAAATTGTAGTGTTTATTATCTGGCTTAAAACAATTCATTGAGAAATTGGGCCCTTAAACTGTTTTGAATGTATTATTTCGTTCTAATTTGAACGTTGAACATACAAAATATCTTTTATCTCCTATATCTTACCCCTATCACTAACCCCCATCCTCTACCCCTATCTCATATCACATAACAGCATAACAATTTTTTGGTAACACTTTTTTCGTTATTTTCGTTATGCTTTTTTGACATTTTCATGTCTTGGCTCTGGCACATAACCGAAAATATTGTAACGAAAATATTGTAACGAAAATATTGTAACGAAAATATTATAACGAAAATATTGTAACGAAAAATGCGTTACCAAAAGAGCGTTACCAAAAAAGAAATGGGGTTGAAGATGAGGTGGGAATGGGAAAAGGTTGGAATTAGCTATGGCAAATAACCGAAAAAAAGCGTAACGAAAAATGCGTTACCAAAAGAGCGTTACCACACGGAGATGGGTTGGAGGTGGAAATAGGGAAAGGAGATAAGGGGTGGGGGTTGGGGTTGGGGATTGAAGATAGGGGTGGAAGATAGGGGTGAGTGATAGGGACGGATAAGATATCGGAGCTAAGAGCTATGTTGTACGTTCAACGTTCAAATTAGAACTAAATAATAAAATCAAAACACTTTAATGGCCCAATTTCTCTATGAATTGTTTTAAGCCAGATAATAAACACTACAGTTTTAGCCAGAAACATGATTGTACATAACTTTTTAAATCTCTTTGGCTTATGCTGTAACTAGAGGCTCCGTATAATTTTTTTTTTTTATATTATAATTCCACAAATAATCTATATTTATTCGGTACTTCAACGAGACATGAAAATGCTCTTTCGTGGTTGCAGACTCGGCTGAAAAACTTTTTCGGTTTTCGGTTGATTTCCACAGCTAATTCCCACCGTTAACCTCATTCCGACCTCCACCTCATCTTCATCCCCATTTAAGGGGGGGTTGAGGGTGGGAATAGTGATGGGATGGGGTGGGAGATAGGAGATAGAGCTAGGGGTGAGAAATAGGGGTTGGAGATAGAGTTGAGTGATAGGGGTGGGAGTTAGTGGTAATAGATTGGGGTGAGAGATATGTTGTATTCACGACGATCAAATTATAGCTGAAAAACAAACTCAATTGTAATTTAACAGGTTAATTTCCGATGAATTGTTTTGGGCCAGATATTATGAAAACGCTAAA